CTTTCTGGGAAATATGGATAAATCACAGCAAGTAAGAAAATATTCTCAACTGTATGTAAATTGTCTGTAAACATACCATTAAAATATTTTGCTTTATTTAAGCATAGAAACAATTTCATACTTGAAATTAACTCTTCATTAATAGATGTCTGAGATGCTGTTATTTTACTGCAGTATTCTTTTGTGCATTTTTACTGGTGCCCTAGTTTTATGAAGCTCAGGAGTAGTCACATGAATATATTCTTGGATTTTCATCCAATATTGTTGCTAAGGAAACATCATCTTTAATACTGTATCCTTGTCTGCAGCTTGTCTGTATTAATCAATGCCTGCTAATGCTCAGTACAAACTAAGTAAAGATGAAAAAAAAAAGAATCTTAATTTAATTTATTATCAAGTAGTTTATTATTGACTATTCTCCTTCAGTATCCCCTGCCACTACAAACCTTGCACAAATTGGAGGGTCTTGTCCCTGACTCTAGTCTCATTCTACATAGACACAACATGGACAGGTTTTATTTTTTTTCATTGGCTGCCATTAGTATTTAATATAATAATCATTGGTCTTGTACAGTGCATGGATCTGGTGAAAATGTTGGGAAATGCTTACATATTGCTCTAAAAGGGAGAAAGAACCTTTTCTGTATGTGTGAAAATGAGGAGCTTGAAATGAGAAACATATTGCTTTTCAGTATGCTGTTAAAATTCTACTACTAAAATTCAGCCCAGTTTGAGTATCTGGCTAGGAAATGACCTGTCATTCAGACATATCAGTGGAACTCTCAGTTCACTGCAAGTCCAGCTATTTAGTTTGTTGCAATAATGACAGGCAAGTTTTTTGAATTTTCTATTTCTGCACTCTTCTGAGAAGTACCAAGTTCTAGAGCAAATTTAAAAATTAATTTGCCTTAGCAGCTTGCTAGCTTAAAACCTGCTTTTTGTTGTGATCCCTTTTGCCTTTTGGACATGTTCTTATGTATCTACTTCTTCAGAGACACTACATTAGATCTAATATCTGTTGTGGAAAAGCCCAGGTCAAAAAGGCCAGAGGCAAACAAGAAGGCCTGAAGAACTTGTCTCATTAGGAATATCTGTTTCCTTTTTTGGACAAGCAGCAGTATCTCATTCATCAGCTTAGTCATCCTTCAAGGACGAGCAAAGGAATCAAGCACCAGTTTACAGTCTAGCTGTGTGGGCTAGATGCAAGCACACTTTCAGCAGTCTAACCTGGCTAGGTCATACCAGCTCTCATTAGCAGGGTAGTAAAGGGAACACGAGTTCTCTCCTTCTGAGTGCAGGAAAGGGAACATGTGTCCTTTTCTTCTGAGTACAGAGCTTCTTATGCCACTAAGCACCCTCTTCCTTCTCCATAAAGAAAAAATAAAATGCAAGAAAATATTTGTGAGGGGCTGTACCTAAGCCCACAGATCCCACACAGGCACATTTGAAAGCTGCCTTTAGAGCTGAGCCTTACCCATACTTTTCTGCCTGATCTCAGGAACAGAATGGATGAATGGTAAGCAGCTATTGCAGATGCCATCCCAACAGTTGTGTGATTTTAACACCTCAGTAGAGGTGTGTTGAAGATCATTCCCAGAGTATCCAGGGAGAGCTTGAAATCATTGTTTGGTCCTGTTAACTGCATCACACTCATGAGTTCGTGTAGTCTGTGTATGGAAAGAGTCCATTGCTACTTATTTCTGGGCACCCATTCCAGTTAAACTCTTTCAGCACTAGGAAGGTATTTAAAATGTTTTGCTCAGGGCTGTTGTAACAATGAACATTCTCAAGTATGTGAATTTTATTGATGCTTCTGCTCTAGAGGTTAGATCAAGGTACTGTATTTTTATATTGATTGCTATGCTTATAGGGATTGCTTGATCGCTCATAGTCCAATGAAATAACTGAAAAGAGTCACATTGCATAAAATTGGAATCTAATCCTTGATTTTTCATGAGGACCCAAAATTTCAGATCCATAATTCTGCATGGTGCCCCATGGGAATAATAATAGCCAGCACTTTATTATTAAGGAAAAACATTGTCTTACCATTCATGTCTCTTATCAAAATCATGTAAATATGTGTAGTAGTTACTTTGTTTAGCGTTGGCAAAAGAAATAATAGTCCCTTGACTTTTTCCATACTTGTCTTTTTCTTCTGCTTTGAAACCTGTGAGATGCAATAACTACAGGTAGTACTTTAAGCTGTCCTTTGCTCCTTGGTCTCTAAGAAAAGGTGAGAAAAGGTATTTCCAGGTAGGTGTATTTTCAGCTGCTGCTAACAGCTTTGCTAAATTGTTTCCCTTAAACTCACCATATTTGCATTTTTAAAAAAACCTTGTTTTCTTAAAGTATTTATTGTACATTTATTTTTTTCTTCTTCAATGACTGTCTAGAAAAGTTATTAGCAGTTTACTATAGGGACTGCAGTGATAGGGGAAGGATGTCGGTAATTCTACAGTGTTGTCTGTTGTGATTAAAATACAGGCTTTGGATCTTAACTTGTGCTGTATTATTATCCCATCAAGGCAGAATTTGAGCTCAGTTGTTTAAGCCAGTATTTTGTATTGTGATGTAGAAAGAACTAATACTGTGATGCTGCTATTAGTTGTTATTTGCCATTTATTAATTAGAAATAGGGGAAACCTTCTCTGTATTTACCTAATATTCTTTGAATGAAATTAGTTGGCATGCTTGGGCTAAGGACAATGTTCTCCTTTCCCTTGGTAGTGCTTTACTGTTGTCTGTTCCATCTCTGATACACTGTGTCTCTCTAAAGACTCTAGGCTTATCTCTGTATATGTGTATATATATATATATGTTAAAAACATACAGAGATAATTTTTGTTTGCTATAAATTGTTTTGTAAGGTGTGGTGTGGGAATGCTTTTGCATGTATGTGTGTCCACAGTGGTGTCTGAGTGTTTTGTTGTACATGTGGTGTGGCTTTTGCTTGTCTAAAAATGCACTATGAACTTGTAGCACAGATCAGGACAGGACTGAAGAGGTGATGAATCAGACATAAGACTGTTGTGTTTTTTCTATTTTCTTCTTAGTTTCTGTCTCTTTTTTCTTGCTTGTTCTTTTTGCTTCCTTTTTCAAATTTCTTCATTGTCCATTTGGTCTAATCACTCCCTTTTTGTGGTGCCGTTCTAAAAAACCAGATTATTTTGGATGCAACATTTTCTCTCCCTCCAGATGCTTTTCCTTTTTCCTGTGAGTACACCATCTGCCTTTGTGTGCTCTGGGAGATGTGCAGGTGTTAGTCAGTATTAGGTGGCAAAACTGAATTGAAATGTGGTAAGTTTTGCTGCCAGCTCCTTTCTGTAATGTTTTTTAATTGTGAAGTTGCTCTGTCAAAAAAAAAAAAAAAAGGGAAGAACAGGGAAACAACTCTGGAAGTGTTGTGAAGAAAAGTGGGAAAATACTGGTTACTTTATCCTGGTGCTGAGGATAACAGGGAGTAGCCAAGAACAGAAATTCCCATAGCAAAATGTAAAGATTTAGGGCTTTTTACCTTTTCAACTTTGAAGTTAGAAGTTCTGCTCAGTTTTGCATGTGGAATTTGTCAAGCAGTATCAACCAACTAAACTGCTATTTTAAAACAGAAAAAATATAGAGGTGTATTGTGTACTGTAATGTAACTTCATGAAATATTAAGCATCTTCTAATGTGGTTTTCTCTTGTTCTTTCTGTATATAGAAAACATATACATCTTTTGAATTAGATTTTTTTCTGGTAATTTCCTGGTTAGCTTTAACCTTGCTGTTTTTCTTTATATTTGTAGACTTTGTTTGTCTCTGCCCTTTGGACTTTATTTATCAAAACCTGTGTTCAAGTTAAAGATCATCTTACCTTTGCAAAGTTCTCGACCTTTCTCCTTTCCAAATCATTTTGAGAAGACAAATATACTTACTGTGTGTTGTTAGTGGTTCTGTCCACCAGTCTCTCATGATCATTCATTACCCTGGGTTTCATCAGGCTAGGAAATTTTTTATCTACATTAAACAGTCAGCTTTGGAAATTATGTCTTCCTGACTTCTATCTGGTATTTCTACATCATTCTAGACTGCTGTACCTACTATGTGTGGACTGACAGTGATCAAGTAGTTTGTCTGGGTTTCTGTTAGAATCTATTCTTATTTTTCTGTATTATGAAATCTGAATCCTCAGACCTTGTGCTCTCCCTTACAGCTTGCTGGCATAAACAAAACAAAGAAATATCTTGCTGACTAGAATGTTTCCTAGCTTGGTCCCAGATTTGGCAAAACAACTCTGATGATCCTCAAGTGCACTCTGAAAGACTGAAATACAAACTATAAGAAAATTCTCTACAATATTAGAAATGTGGGGAGTTAATAATTATTCAAAACCAGCTATTCCCAATTGTTCTGTATTAAAATTAAGACATTTAAGATAATCACTCTTCAGTTTAGTCATCTGAAGTGTAGTCATTGCCTCTAGTTTAAGCTAGGCATGCTTTAGGTTGCTGTACAGTCAGCAGAGAGACAGCTCCAGGAAGCTGTCCTCTCATAAAAAGGACATCAAATACTGTGTGGAATAAAGAGCTTCTGGAGATGCACATCTCTCTCCATCGATGATTGATGTGTAAATAGTAAAACACTAACTTTTGTTTTTCATCGTTTGTGGTTTTAGTTTTAAGAAATAGAAAGAAAGGAAAAAAGGTATTTCAGTGCATGAAAATCTGACCAAATTTACCACAAGTAAACGCTTTTGGAACAGAGGATTATTGACTATTATGCAAGTAATTTAAATGTAGAAAGCTTTTGAGGGCTAAATTCAAGAAGGATATTGGCATGTACTATATTTAGAATTTCACAGCTACTGCAGAATCTGTGATACAAAATGATTTTTTATTATCATCCAGTATCCACAGGATCATATTGTAAAATAATTTTAAAGGAAAAAAATTAATGCAAATAACTAGGCAAATACAAAAGTTTTATAAAGAAATATTTTATATCTCTTTTTTTTGGCAGTCTTGCTTTGCACCCCGAACGTGTGTTGGTGGCAACAGGTCAAGTTGGAAAGGAACCATATATCTGCGTGTGGGATTCATACACTGTGCAAACTGTATCTGTTCTGAAAGACGTTCACACACATGGTATAGCTTGCTTGGCCTTTGATCTAGATGGTCAGGTATGTAATTAATATTCTTTTTTCAAACACTTGACTAAATTGTTTATCTGTTAGAAATCTTGTCACATAGTTTTTCTTTTAAAAAAATGAAAGTGTATTGTCTTAGGTTTCATCGGCCTATTCTCAAGTTGAGGAAGATAAAATTACATGAATGCCAAATATTTAAATTTGCCAGGAAAACTATAGCTTCAAAAGCTTTTTGAATGGAGATGAGGTGGTAGGGAGGTTCTTGTGGTCTGTGGGCCACAGCTCAGGGTAAGACCAAATAGCCAGAGACAGTGGAACTCCCCTGTGCAGGGGCATGTCTTGTGCCCAGAGTGATGGCAGCCCCCTTGTGTTACTCATCTTGCACTCCTTCAGGCAGTATCCCATTGTCTGTCATGCATTTTGCATTCACTGTTGGCTCTCCACAGTTTGATTGTTCAGACTCATGTATCCCACATCTAAGAGTCAAGAAAAAGGTTTCATTGTATTATCATTCTGTTCCTTTTGAACATTCTCTGAGTAGTAAATTGGTTCTCAGAGCTGCCACCTATAATTTTTGTTTTTACCAGATTGTTTTTACCAGACACTTGCTCCTCTGAGTAAAGAGGCTTTCTTGACTGTTGTATTAGAAATGGAAAATTTAGTGGTTACATTTGCATGTTAGGTAGCAGCTGAAAAGGTATTAACTGAGAAAATCCTTTCTGGAGATGTGCTTTCCTGGTCTGTGAAACACTTCTTTCCCTTTTGCTCAGCCTTGCAATGCGATACTCACATTTAGCTATATTCTCTATTTAGTTCCTTTAGCTTGCTAAACATGTCAATGTATGTTAGTTACTGCTGCTTCCTAAGGTGAAGATGTATTGTAGAGACCAGTTGCTGTCCTTAAAATAATATCAAATGTAGCTGTGTTGAACACAAGAGGAAAGCCTACCTGTAACTTGTTTCTTTTTAAAACATGTTGTAATTGTAGGAATGTTCTGACTTTGTTGAAATGACTTCTCATTGTTTAGGAAGTCAGCTTCTGGAGTCAGGTTCTTTCTAGAACATAATTTCTAATTCACAGTGATATCTTTATCTTGTTCTTGTGTAAACATGTGTCACTCCCTCACTTGAATGACCTTCATCATTTAAGGTCAAGATACCTCAAATTAGGATTGGCATACCCTAACTTTTCAAAGATGGAATAGAAAGGTTAGATTTTTTGTAGTTTTAATAAATAGGAAGAATGGATAGAAATTATATTGGACTTGTTTACTTTTCTTCTCATAATCTTGGAGTTTTTCATACAGTAAAGGAATTATGTTATTTGGAATAGGTTTCTGTCTTTGGGAAAAAAAAGATTATGATTCAAGTTTGGAGTTTGTTTTTGCTTTTACAACCTCACTGAATAATCTATCTAGAAATTGAAGCTAAATTTGTCCTTAATATGTGTAAGTATTAACTGCTGAACAGTGAAAAAAAGCTTTGGCCAAAAGTTTTGAAAAACTTTCATTTATAAATATCAAAATGGCACAATTCATGAAAAAACAGAAAAAAAATACTCATTTTCTTTAAAAATTAAACAAAATCATTCAGCTTTTTTTTTTTTAAATGCAATTCTGTTAGTCTTTCTGTTGAGAATTTCTATAGGAAAAATAGCATTTTGACTGGTTAACAGATACATTACAAGCAGCTAATTTAGTCAATCATTTGTGTCAAGAAATGTGTTCCAAGTGTCTTCATAGTCAAGACAAGACAGGCTGCAAAGCACAGGAAGATCTCAAAATTTTATTTTTCTTGATTTTTTTAGAATAATCTTTTTGTCCATCCTGGTTTTACAGTGTAAATAACTTCAAACTCTTTCTGAATAATAAAGACTTCATGAAGTTATGTTTGGGGCCTTTTTAATTATTTTTTGAGAAAGTATTCAAATCTTTTGTTTGTTTCCAAAAAGATTGAAGAAAATATTTTTTCTTTATATCTCTTGAACTTGTAAAAGAAATTCTAAATTCTGCAAGTTACATGTAATTAAAGATAAACACATACACTTTCATTAGCTTCAGTGATTATTCCTTTTTTGCAAATGTCTCTTGACTGCAGCTCACCATGTGTGCTAGGTATAATTATATATATTAAATATTATAAATCAGAAAGGTGTTGTCATCTAAGAAGATCTTTATGGTCATGATGTTGTACCTGAAAAGATGCATCTATGTAAGCTTTGGTGTAAGATATAGCTTATGTTTTCTTCTATATTGCTTCTACCTCAAATATATTACATGTTTTTTGCAACTCATTCAAAATAATGACTTTAGCTTTCGTTAATATATGGAGTTATTTTTATTTGTTTAATTTGGACACTTTAGCGTTTGGTCTCGGTTGGTTTGGATTCGAAAAACACAGTTTGTGTATGGGACTGGAGAAAAGGAAAATTGTTATCAATGGCTCCTGGTCATACAGACAGAGTAAGTATAACTAAATAGTCTGAGCATCAATGTCATTTTAGTTTGTTAAACCATGTCTGTATATATATACTAGACATATGTCTGAACAAAAACAGTTTTGTTTTAGAAATTGAATTTGCCTAAAGGTTGATATGCTTAAAGACGTGAAGATATTTAAGATGTGTGCATTTATTTCTAGAATAAAATGTGTAACTCAATATTTATTTGTGTATGGTTTGTTGAGACTGAAAACATGCAGGGGAATTGCAAAATTAATGCACTTCTTAGACCCTAATCCCCATATGGGAAATCAAAATGCAAATAATTGCTTAATTTTTTTCTACTCTGTAAATGAACCTTAATCTTGTTTTATCATGTGCTTTAATTACTCTAGGGACAAAAAGCCAGAACTATATTGGGTATATATTGAAATTTCAGTATGGAATGAGAGGATAAAAAAGTCTTTCCAATAGATCCATTTAAAGCATTTCAGACTCCCTGCTAATTTGCTAAAAATTCTTACTGTTTTAACTGTCCCATGCTAGAAAAGCCATCTCTATTGACATCCTTGGGTTTTTTTGTGCAGATATTTGATATTTCTTGGGATTTATACCAGCCAAACAAGCTCGTCAGCTGTGGTGTAAAACACATCAAGGTAATGAAATAACTCTTCATTTATAAAATATTTAAGCTGCAGTAATATATGCTCTATAAAACATATAAAAATAGAATCTAAAAGGAATATAGAATGATAATATGGAAAGTCTTGTATAAGAATAATATTATATATTAAGTTCTTATAAGTGCAATCATGAATCACACCTGACAACACTAGGTACTTTAAAAGATCTGTATAGTGAAAAACAGACCTCCTCTGCTCAAAAGATTTCACAGCCTGGCAGAAGTAATGTAGTAGGAATAAGACAGTTGTCAGTAGCATTGTATGTAGTGACTTTAATATAATTTAAAATTTAGGTTCTCTAAAACTCGCTGTTTGAATCCAGAGTAGTGTAAGACAGGATGCACATGCACAGGTGACTCCAGGTACTCAAGTTTCTGAATCTTGAACAGTGAATGAATTTCTGCACTACAGAGGTGAAATGAATTGAAAAACTGTTTCTTAACATTTACAGATAGCATGAGGAGACAGTGGAAGAGAAAGGAAGAGAAGAAGCATTTTCCTCTCTTTTAATTATTTTCCCTGCTTGTATTCGTATCTTTGTCATTTGGAGCACTCTGTACCTGTTACAGAATTCATAATTTGGACAGCTCATGTCTTTTTCAAGCAGGCTCTGTTTGATCCATATAGGAAATGCTGTGCAGAAGCAACTTCTTTTTCAGGTTTAACTTTGTCAGCAGGATTATTAATGATTAGGAGCTGTGTTTGCTGTCAGTCACTGTCTTCTCCCATGCTTTGTTTTCTGTGTTACCACATAACAGCAGTAGATGGCAGCTTGAAAGTTCTGTATTGCTGTTGTGTGTAGGTTCCCATGGTGGGGAAAATGTGTTGCTTTTTATACAATGAACTTTTAGAGTAATATGTATCAATGGCCTACTAGAAAAAGTCTTAAATCTGTTGGCTGGACTGCATAAGTCTGATTTGGCATAGTGTTTAGCATGTCAGTTACAGAATTCCATGAACTTGCTTAATAATGATCTTTTTTTTCTACTTCTCTAAGAGGACCTTTATGCCAATAGTAAGCTAATATTTGCCAGCAGTGATTTAGTATATTTAAGATGGCTTTATGATGTCAAAATGTATCTATTTAGATAAGCAAAATTTTGAGCAACTTTTAAGGCTCTACAAAGCCTTTCTAAATAGCAACATCATTTTAAAAATAATTGCTGTTTCCTCTGGGGAAGCATTATGGAAAATCTGAATTCTAGAGGAATTTAGGCATTTGGATCAGGCAAGAGATTTTTCTTGATGTGTGTTTTTCTTAACCCACACCTTCTTGTTCTTTCAGATACCAAGAATTTCTTACATGTTTTTATTACTATTGTATTTTTTTCTCAGATGATATTTTATGCAAATTGTAATAGTCAAGTTATGTAGATAATTCCATGTGAATTCATGTTAGGGAATTACTTATCTACATCACCCGCTTCCACATTGGAGCTAGGTGTTCAATTTATGCAGTGACTGTGTAGCTGCTTCTCAAGCAACAACATGGTCTATGTCTTGAAATCTGTACTTTAGTTAAAAAAATACTACTGTCACGGTTTCACCCCAGCCAGCAGCTAAGCCCCAACCAGGTGCTTGTTCACTCCACCACTAACAGGACTGGGGAGAGAGCTGGAAGGGTAAAAGCTGGAAGACTCATGGGTTGGGGTAAAGACAGTTTAACAGACAAAGCAAAACCTGCAAGTGCAAGCAAAGCCCACCAAGGAATTAATTCACTGCAAAAACACTGGGATAGGCAGGTGTTCAGCCGTCTCCACAAGAGCACATGTAACAGTGGGGGAAGACTAACTCCATCACTCCAAATGTCCCCCTTGTCCCTTCTTCCTCTCACTTTGTACACTGAGCATGATGCCATATGGTCTGGAATATCCTTTTGGTCAGTTTGGGTCACCTGTCCCAGCTGTGTCTCTTCCCAACCTCCCATGCACCCCTAACTTCCTCACCAGCATTGCAGTAGGTAGGCAGAAGAGCCCCTGGCTGTGTAAGTTGTGCTCAGCAATAACAAAAGCATCTCTGTATTATCAACACTGTGTTCAGCAAAATCCAAAACACAGCCCCATACCAGCCATAGTGAAGAAAATTAACTATCCCAGCCAAAACCAGCACCTTTAGTAAAGATCACTTGGATTTATTCAGTACTAGTCATTCTAATCAGTAATGGTAATTTCTGGTTATTTCTGAATTACAGTTTTTTAGGTACAAAAATCTATTCATGGTAACTTCTTACATTATGCCATATTAATTGAAGTCTGCTCAGAATTTGGAATTGATTATTGGTAACAGAGTGCCTTGCTGTGTCCCATAAACACATATGCAGGAAACTGTATATGCTGAGACAATGTAAGAGTAACCTGTTAGCAGTGATGCTTTCATGTTTTGCATTGGATTACTTCAGCAGCTTCACTTTCCAGTGCACGTTTACATGTTTGGACAGGAGGGTTTGAAAGGAATATGCAAGTGCTTCTTGTTTGCAGATATCTCAGAAACTAGTATTTATCTGGAGACTTAGTTGGCAAGTATTGTGCTCTGACAAGAGACTTTGCATGTCTTTAGCTCAGGATTCATTGGTACAAATTGTGTAAATTAGGAGGGAATTAATGCTTGTGTGATTGCTGCAATTGCATACAAATTTTGTTAGGAAGTTCTTAATCTCTGCCTCAGATGGCTACTTTGTGTGATCCATGGTTCTGATGAGAAATACATCTACAATAAAACCAGCTGCCTTCAAACAGAGCAAATAAAGTCTAATCAGAAATCCACATGCTTAGGTGGCGTCCTTAAATGAATGAAGTAACATAAAGTACAAATAACTTAAATGAATGAAGTAACATAAAGTACAGCATTTTCAGCATAAAAGTCTTACGTCTAAGGAAGATAATTCTATTATGAAATGCTTTTCAAAAATGACTGAAAATACAACTGACTCACAAATTATTATTTGAAAGAATTTTACTTTGATTTAACACTGATAACCCAAAATTCCTTCCCAACTACTCTGTTATGATGCTGTTACAGGAAGATAAAGTTGGTTAGTAACATAAAACATTGTTAAACTAGAGAACTAAGGCATGGAAAAGAGGGTGAATGGTGATGTCTATTGCAAGGCAAGGTCCTTCTCTTTCAGATGTGCATATTAAATTCTAAGGTGTTAGCAGAATAACCATCTTTCCAAATCCCTTTATGTTACAGTTCTGGAGCTTGTGTGGCAATTCGTTGACACCAAAACGTGGTGTCTTTGGCAAGACCGGTGATCTCCAGACTATCTTGTGCCTCGCCTGTGCAAGGGATGAAGTGACGTATTCTGGTGCGCTGAATGGAGATATATATGTATGGAAAGGAATCAACCTTGTACGGACAATACAGGGAGCACATGCTGTAAGTGTAGCTCTCCAAATTTAATATTAAATGTTAAGTAGATTTCTGGAAAGCCAGAAAGAGCAACCCAAGGTCATCTTGTCTGTGTTCCTAAATGTTTTCAGTGATATTCAGGATGTCTTATTTGAATATTTTTTTTTAGAAAAGTATACAGCTTTAAAAAGTGAATTCATCTGGGTGAAAGTTTAATAAAAATTTCCCAAAGTATTTGGTAATATCTTCTTTTAATTTAAATGTTTAATATGAATATAAAGTGATTATTATTTTGCTATGTAAGTTTAAATTACATTTTCCATGTTATTTTAAAGCATATAGGTTTGTGATTAAAGTAGGCAGGAAAAAACCACGCTTTTTGGTTTTCCATCTGATTTGTGCATGCTAAACTGTGAAAATCCTCATTAGCTCTCATTTGGTAATATGCAGGATTTGACTTCCAAATGTCCAAGTATCACTTAAAAACAAAGACAACCAGTTTCTGGTTGGTTCAACCTATGAAGCATGAAACTGCTAAGGTCATTTTATGAAGCTACATGATTTGCTGGTTGAATGTTAATTTTTGTTTTGAAAAACATTGTACCTTCTTGATAATATTTGAAGTTCCCCTATTAGCAATTTAACATGGTGTGAAAAAACAAGAATATGAGTTCTGATATTGTAGCTTCAAAAGTCTAGATAAAAATCAGTAACAGTTAATGATTCTTCCTTGTGAGGATGTGTTTGTTTTAACCAGTGTGTTGGACTGGGTGGCCTGACATTTATAGCTGAGGTATAAGAGTCACTCTTTGATTTAATCAGGTAGAATGGAGGGGACGAAGCAATCAATGTTATGTGTGTGGGAGAGGTTGCAGTTAGTTGGTTGCAGGTTTACCAAAAATTTAGAACTGCACATTCAAGATGGTTGCAGCTTGTTAAATGAACTAATAATTCAAAAGTGATTGGAGTGCTTATTCAGACAGTTGTATAATGACACTGTCTCTGGTTATGAACAAAGATAAAGTTATGAAGAACATCTGTATGTGAAATGTATCCCAAACTGTATTTTGCATTCGAGATTTCTTTATATATAGAGAGGTGTATGTATGTGTATACACATATGTATGTGTATATGTATGTGTGTATATATGTATGTATGCATGTGTGTATATATATATATAGAGATATATATAGGTATGTGTGTGTATGTTAAAAGAAATTACAGGTAAACACACACAAGCATACTGTCCTTTATGCATCTGTATAAATATTAAATGTATCCAAGAAGGTCCAAATTATAAATCAGGGAGAATGAGGAGGTATTTATGGTGTGGAGCTATCCCTGATTCTTGCTCTATAACTTTAAATCTCATTTGAGTATTCATAATAAGTGTTCAATAGCATTCTGTTATTTTCTGTGTTTTCCTGAGATTATTGGGCATTGCATATGCAGACCTTGATTCCCAGAAGAAAGAGTGCGCTTAGTCTCTTGTTGAAAACTGATGCCAAAATATTCTGCCATCCAGTTGGTGATGTAGGAGACAGCTGTCCTTCATATTAGCATACTTGTGACTTGGACTATTTAGACTTGCAACAGTTTATTTCTCAGAATATTTCAGTGCTTTTCAGCTGTTTAAGTGTGAAGTGACACACTGAGAAATGTAAGATCACGAGAGCTTGTTGCTCCATTCCCTTATGTGCTGTGTCAGTTCTTAGTTGACCATAAGATCAAATTTGAACATCCTTATCTTCATTAACATCAATGGACAGAGCTCAGGTGACCTTGGAGGAGGTCTCATCTAGCCTTCTATTTTTGGCTCTATCATCTAGGCTCAATGGAATTGTACTTTGCAGTACTGAAAATTAAGTAGGGACACTAGTCTATGTCTTTGAAATTCATTTTTACAAGAGATTAGAGTCGCTACAAATCTCACCAATTTCAGGGGAAAAAAATCCCAATAAAATATGGAAACTGCTCTCCAACAGTATAAAACCTTGTTTTCCAATAAAATATTACCTTAAAAGATGATATTGAATTATCAACTCTAAGCCAAATATACGGAAACTTGCAATGACAGTATTTCTTCAGCCATACTAAAATATTATCATGACATTTTATGGCTACTTAATTTAATAAATTAATGTACTTAATTTTAGAAATTATAAATTATGTCCTTCTTGTCCAGAGAAAATGCAATTGTACATAACAAGATTTATGGTGTATGTATATTGTTAAAGGGACAGTGTGCATGTAGTAAAGAATTGATACAAAATTCTCTTTAGTATACTAGTATTGGAATTGTCATCTCTGCCTACCTGCTCATCATCCTGCATCATTACTCCTCAACAGGTGGGACGTAAACTGTAATCTTATTGAAGGAAGATGTCTCATTATTTGCATAAATACCATGCTTTTCTTGCAGCATGAACAGCAGATATCTGAGATACTGGAAAACAGTTTCTAAACCACATTAGTGATGTGAAGAAATAGTCCAGCCCCAGATTTATTAAGTTATTATTAAGACATTTTCTGCATTAATATAGAAAAACTGTTTTTTTCAAAGGTTGTTGCAGTTGAAAAGACATTTTTCATTTTAAGAATAATTCAATGTGAAAAATAATTCATTGTCTCCCAGTATGAGCAACCAAGGAAACAGATAGCAACTTTAACAAGCAAAATAAGAATTCTTAATTCAGACAGATTATTCATTTTCTGTCATAGCAATACTAGGAGAGAGGAAAGTAGAGTTTTTTGCAGATTTCTGAGTTTGAGTAGTAACAAAAAGTTGAAAACACATGAGTTGAGGTGACTGGAGAATTAGTTGGAAGAGGATTAGTGAATTCACTTAAACTAGAAGTAGGAATGAAAAGTTGGAAAAGGTGGAAATGAGCAGGGTTTAGGAGTAAAGGCACAGAGTTCATGTGCAGGGAGCAATGGACAACAATGGAAAACTCCAATTCTAGATTTGCCTCCTAAATAATAATCCTACTGAAAATTTTAAAGGGAAGAAAGAAAACAATAACATGACAGTATGTAAATTTTCTGGCAATGGTAATACTCCATGAGGTTATTTGTAGGTGATGGATCTCGCTCTGGAGGATTAATAAATACCTTGACTAATAAAAAATATAATCTTTTAATACATGTCTCATTTGTGTACCAGTGCAAAGAACAGATTATAGAATCTTCCACTTATCACCTTATATGTTCTAAATTCAAGGTAGTTCATGACTATTAAGATATATACATGTTAACTTGGATATTAAAACAAAATTGTATACTTAGCTAAAACACTGTATGTTTTAAGGATCTATGCTTTTACCTTGCATAGTAAATATGCATAAGAAGCTTTCTCAGCAGATGAATAATTAATTTTGAGATAGTCTTTCAGAGGTACACATTAAAGTTGTGTGGATTGATGTCAGAAACTGAGGTTAAATAACAAGCTCGAGGTTAAATAACAGGCACTCTGTTAAAACTATTGCACGCCTATGTCAGTTGGCTGGATACTAATTAAATATAGATGGAAACAATATAATGAACTTAAATGAATGGTTTTAAGCTGGTATCATGTACCAACAGAGTCATGCAGTATTTTCTCCTGCTGCTTAAACTAGTCATTGGTTTCAAAGGTAACAGTCCATTTCTTTTAGCCAATGAGAGGTATATAAACAACTACTTTAAATTTTTATAGTAGTAAGTACATTTCTAAACTATTTTCTGTATGATTTGTTGGACAGTAAGATCACATTTCACAGCAGTTTCTCGCTGCTGCAAACTCACTGACACCTATCTTAAATGTTTGCAATCCATTTCCTTACTGTGCAGTAGGTATTGGGAGAGACAGTGTCTCAGAGTGTGTTGTTTTACATGCTTTGCATTTCTGTGTCCTGTAGTGCACAGTCCTGTGTAGTCTGGGAGTAAAAAGGAGGCACTGGAGTTGTTTTTGTGTTGCTGTACCATGTTCTCCATGCTGCTCAGTTGTAGTCAGTTGCTTCTGAAGTTTCTATATGATTTTCCAAGTTTGGTCCTAATTATAGCTAGCTGCAGTCATCGTGCTTTAGGAACTGCATAGTCAGAGTGGTGGATTTTATAAAAACAACTGCATTGAGATAAACTGGTGCCTGATTTCTGTCCATTGGGGGCAAGATAGGTTCAGCAGCAGTAGAAAACCACTAACTGCTTCAGTATTGGTGACTTCTTGGACTCAAGCAGTGGCTAAGTATTCATACAGGAGGGATCATCTTTGTCAAATTCCTTTTGCACTTCTCCAGCTTTCAACTATAATTTCTGGTAGATCTGGGCATTATTTTTTTATTTGCGCTCATTCAACTATTTTTTTTTCATATTTGAAGGAACACAGATGTGATACCAGCTGGTTATATTGGAAAAACAGGAAATATTCAGCATTCTGAGAAAATGTTGACTGATTTATTATTTCCAGAATTTTCATGTTCATTAGGAAGTACAATGAAACATTTGTAAAAGAAGAATGCAGTCTGTATGCCAAGCTTCATAGGTTTTATGATGGAAATCTTTGATTTACACCTTTTATTTTCATTCAGAAGCACAGTCTTTGCAGCTCACATTCAATTGGATCTAGCAAAATCAGTGCAATTGTTTGCCCCTCGTTACTGCTAGAGGGTTTTTAACCATCAAGAATCAAATTATGTTAATGACAATTTCAGGCTGAAGAATTAAAGAAACATGTAGACTCTGAAGTTGATTTTCATTAACAATCTTGTCAGTTTTTGAAAGGAAGGATTTAGTAGAGGATTTACTGGCCAAGCTACCCAAGTAAAGAATCTGTCTTTTCCACTTAGTGTAAGTCTAACAATTATATGAAAAGTAGCAAAGCTCAGCTTTTTCCATTACATATTTACATTCCCATTAATGAGGGACATACATATAGTTTTCAACTCATTCTCTTATTCCAGTGGCACAAAGACCGAAATGAGAATGTCCTATTGCATTTCAAGAGACTGAGCAAGCACATCTGCCAAATCTCCTTGACAACCAGTGTGTCCTTTTTAAGATAAGGATATTCTGTGGAATGGAAAACAGATTAATGCTGGGTCCACTTGATCTTATCTTCAGAGCATTCCGCCAGCTCCCACATCACCAAATGTCTGATTGTTTTTTTTAATACTGACTAATTAAATAATGGATTTTGGAAAAAGTTAATTAGAGAAAAGGAAATAATTCTATTATCAAGATTGCATTCCAAAAAGAGCTTTAAAAGACTTAAACTTGGACAGAATTCAGCATATGCTACAAAATGAGCTGAAATTCGTCTAGACTTTTATTTATTTCATGGCACCTAGAACCATAGAATCACTAAGGTTGGAAAGGGCCTCCAGGATTAGAGTCCAACTGTTAACCTGGCACTGCTGTGTTCACCTCTAAACCCTATCCACAGGTGCCACATCCACCTTTTTTTAACACTTCTAGGGATTGTTCCTCTAGGACTTCCCTGGGCAAGCCTGTTCCTGGCAACCTTTTCAGTGAAGAAATTTTTATTAGGATCCAACCTAAACATTCTCTGCAACTGGAGGCCATTTCCCCTCATCCTGTCATTTGTTACCTGGAAGAAGAGACCAACCCCCACCTGGCTACAGCCTCCTGTGAGGGACCTGTCTCACCTGAGCCTCCTTTTCTCCAGGCTAAACATGCCCAGCTCTCTCAGCTGCTCCTCATAAGACTTCTCACAATATTAAAGGTTAATGCAGTAAAACAGACAGATACACGTGGAGAAAAACAAATAGAACTTGTGCTGTGTTTTCAAAAACCTATAGGCTCCTAAAGAAACAGGATTTTCAAGATGTTAGAGATAATGAGAATTAGCCTTCTAATCTTCTTAGGATTTCAATATTCCACAACATTTCTGTTTAGACACGTCCTGCTCCTGAACTTGTCTTTAAAGTCTCTTTCTTGAGAATGGGCATGACATGCCAAAAAATTTGAGTTCTGTCACTCTTGCCTTTCAGTTTTGATTGTCATTTGACATTCTAATAGGCTTCTTTTTTTTGTGAAATCTGAGAGATTTTTTTTAACATGAAAAATTATATCTTTGTTACCTGATGCTAGAGAAGCAAACACAATCCATATTTTGTTATGACCAGTCCATTATGATATTTTTCTTAGTTGTAATTTAGGAAGAAAAAGCATATTGGTAGGAGATAATAGTCATGAGTACCCCAGAATTCTCACAAGTCACATTATTTGTTCTGTGAGTGTACAGCTTCTTTTTCCCCCAAAAGCCAACCTCTCTTTTGAAAATTGCTTTCATCTTTGCAGTTAATGTGCTTCATGACTGTAAAATCTGGACACTATCTATAGAACTACTGGAACTTTATTTCTTTACAAAACTGAAATTTCAGATCAATATTGTAGAAGATATGTGTATATTATTGGCTGTTCTACTCTTTTTTGGACAGGATTTAGAGACAGATTTTCTCTTCCATTGTTTCTAATGCTCTCTTGCTTAGTTTTTGACATAGCTGAATATTACATACTTGAAGTAAATATAGAGCAATTTCTAACTTTTCATAGGCTTATCATCTAAAGTTGCCCTTTCAGTAGCTTTGCTTACTGAAATGTATGAGTTATTTCTGAACAAAAGGCTAGTGAGTTGTGTAGGCAGTTAAAAAAACCCAATAGTGTTTATGCCATTTAGATATGTATCATTGAATCAAATAATGGCTATGTGGCTATAGTGTCTTTATTTTAATACTACCTATATCATCCTTGCCTCTTTGTGATCCTGAAGAAAACACGTATCAAGTGAGTTGAAGAAAATGGGTTAGGGGTTTTGTTTCCTGATGTCTGCCTTTAAAATAAAAATTGACATTAATTTTTCAATGATGTAGCATGATTATTGTTTTTCTTAAGTTTTATTTCTAAACTTAATTTTTAAATCAATCCTCCTTGGTTTAAAAAAAAACCAAAATCCCAGATGTTTTGCGGGTTCTTGTATAGCAGCTGAGTACTAGCAACAAAGGCCCTAAACCAAGCCTAACTGAGGTCATGGGAAATCTTCATGCTGACATCTACTAGAGTTCGACCAGGTCCTAAGGCAAGGGGATATGAAACTAAGCTCTTTCAAGGGATAAGAAACAGCATTACTATGATGATCATCATCAGAAGGAAAGCATTCTTGCAGCAATTCACTTACTGTTTGTCACTTGTTAATTCCTCTTGTTTTGAGTTTGTTTCCATTTTTGACTTGCTCATATTTGAAGCTTGTATTAGTTGCATACTGTTTTTCTCTAATTTGTTTATGTTGTTAAAAGTAACCTTCTTCTCTCTTTAGGCAGGAATTTTCAGCATGAATGCATGTGAAGAGGGGTTTGCCACTGGTGGCAGGGATGGCTGCGTTCGCTTGTGGGACTTAAATTTTAAACCAATTACTGTGATTGATCTCAGGGAAACAGACCAGGGATATAAAGGTAAAGAGAAGTTTGTCGCTTTCAGTAAGTTCTTACCACTAAGATAGGAAATTTATCAGTGTTTTGAACAAGAAAAGACTCTAAAACCCAAAACATTGTTATATGTACGTTACTATGAAATATTTACTAGGAATAGGATAGATCATGCCCCTGGTATAAAGGTCACAGTTACTTTTACAAACAGTACATATGATGAGGATGTAGACACAGATTGAATTTTTTTATGCACACTGTTTCTAGAGCACAGCAGTTTTTAACAAGGGACAGTAATGCTTTAAGAGAACTTGAGACAGTGAGATCTACAGTGTAAAACAATGGAGTACAACAATTTCATTTGCTAGTTATCCAAATTTTCATTAAAACTATTTGAATGTTATCTACAGTTTTGTGGAAATTAAAACACTCCTTACTTGTAACTATGACTTCAGTTACAGTTCACGTCATACTAAACTTTTACACAGAGTGTTTCAGATATTGTTGCTATAATGATTTAGGATAAGAATACAAACATGTACTGAAGCACTAATGTCACTTACAATATTGCTTTTGTTGGCATTTGGTTTTCTTTGCCCCCAGTCACTTTTGTTATTTTCTAATATCTTGCCAAGAATTGGAAAATGTGCTAGAATATCTGGTAGCAGTGAGATGCTCAGGGTCAATACATAACTGATTACAAGTGAAGTCTTTGTAGGGTGTAATTGACATGGCATTCCCACCAAGACTGTGAAGTATTGCAAAAAGATGGAATACATTTCATTTTAAATATGCCCTGCAGTAGAATGGCTCTGTTTTAAATTTACTCAACTGCTGCTTCTCAGTTCTGATGCATGTAGCTGAAAGCTGTTTCATTCTTTCAGACTTGTTCTCACCTCCAGTTTTCCTTCTTTACTTCTGATGTAACAGATTATTACCATAAACTTTTGCCTTGTCAAATGCCCATGACAGATCAAGAAGATTTTTAAGAATCTTGTCTTGAATAAAATGAGTTTCCTGATTCTTTTCCCTTCACTCTTTTTTTTCTTCTATACTTCTGAAGATTGCCTTTATGATCTGTCCTCTTGCTCATTTTCTTATCTGCATTTTCTGCTGCTCCACTGTCTTACCTCTTGGTATACTCTATATATCCTCCAAGTAGCCATTAAAAAAGTTTATCTTCCAAGGGCAAGGATGCCACTATCTATGAAATAGATAAAAAAAGAAGCAAATCCAGGAACAAGAGAAGGGATATGGATACTTCTTGACATTTTCTTGCTTTTATGCTTTGTCTTTTGCTACTTTACCTTTGTTTTACAAGTTCTGAGGATGTATCTCTCATTAACAATCTCTTTTGCAGGTCTCTCTGTAAGAAGTGTTTGCTGGAGAGGAGACCATATACTCGTTGGGACACAAGACAGTGAAATTTTTGAAATTGTGGTGCACGAGCGTAATAAGCCTTTCCTGATAATGCAGGGGCACTGTGAAGGAGAGCTGTGGGCTTTGGCTGTCCATCCTACGAAACCCCTGGCCATGACTGGAAGTGATGATCGATCAGTCAGGTTAAATTCTGATTCTTTGTTAAACTGCATTCAGTTTTATACAAACAACTAATTTTGTAGGTAACCTAATTGAAGTGTATATATTTTAAAGTTATTAAAATGTGGCACTGATGTACTTCTACAGTTCAGTTATGAAGGGAATTAGTTCTCTCCAGTAACAAAATTCAAGTATATATTTCCCAAACCTCCCCCCACATGTGAAATTTGAAAACATTACTTTTAGGCTAACATTGAGCACTCAGAGACAAGCATCCTTTAAGTTTTTCAGGAGTTATGTTAAGCGTGCACAGCTTGTGATGAAAAAAAAAAATTGCGGTAAAAACTGAGACATTTTACTCTTAATGTATTTACTTTTCCAAATGCTGCAAATTAACTCTTAATGTGTGAATTTCATCAAACCTAGCCCATGCATTGTAAACAGAGCATAAATTTTCAGTAAGCCCATCAAATTACTCCCTCTTATATGTTTATCTCTACTTTTTTTGGTCAAAACCATCTTTTCTTTCTTCTAAGTTAAATGTGTTGGCATTTTTTGCTAAATATCTCAAGTGTTACAGAGTTAAGATAATCAATAATTCAATTATTAATATTGAAATATTACTCTTAAATTCCAGATATTGTAAATTGTAAAATAATAGATATTAGATTGTAAATAAGAGATGTAATCTACCTTGTTATAAAAACTTACATATTTTAATATTATTAGTTATAAGAATTTTTCATAATGACTTTTTATAGGAAAAGTGCTTTATACTGATCAAAGTCTAACTGTTATTTAATGTTTCTGGCTAAAATTATTAGAAAATAGTGGAATTTTTGCAGGAGTGGTCTAAAACTATGTGTTGTCATATGCTATAATTTTTTATATTGAGAAATAAAAATGAATCTGTCCCCACATTTTCTCATTAGAGATATTCCTTTCTTTTAAAATATAAGAATATTTCTTGCTGCGTATAAAATTCACAGCTATGTCTTAGATTTTCCTTGTGGAAAATTATTTTAAAACAGGGACACTGCCAAGTCCAGCATTGTGCAGAAACTGAGGGCTTTGTCTTACCTACGACAGAGCTGCACACCCATTTTGCATTTGAAATAATTACTTTATTTTAGAATCTGGAGTTTAATAGACCACGCTCTGATTGCCCGGTGCAACATGGAGGAGCCCATTCGCTGCGCCGCGGTTAGTACTGATGGAATCCATCTAGCTCTTGGAATGAAGGATGGCTCTTTCACTGTGCTTCGAGTCAGGTATGCCACAAAACTACTGACAATAGTTATTAATATTTTGATACTTTTGTGGCCATGCATGTGATCATTTGTGTCTTTGTTCTAAATTGCAGAGGGCGCTCAGATTTTTTTAAATGTGTACTACATATGTTCACATTGTCCTGTAACAACCCATTTAATAAAGTATATTGGTCTATTTGCAGAGAGTGGCAGTGTTCTAGGAAATGTTTTACTTTAGGTTTTAGATTCATGAATTATCCTTGAATTACCAAGAAATAAATTTTCATTACTTCCTAAATTGTTCCTGTATGTTGGAGTTCTGCTGTAAGCACATCCTGCATACAAAACCAGTGCTGCCTTGTGCTGCTGTGATCCCACAGTTTTAAAGGGAAAATGAGATTTGTGTCTCATGTCAGTGAAGTTTCCTTCCCTAGCTGAATAAAGATCTCATGATCTACCTGATGAAATTTTCCTTTTCTTCACTGTCCCTCAGCCAAGTGAAGCACCTTCTTGTATCACCATTTCCTCCTTTTTTTTCTCTGTGAAGCTCTAACCAACCCTAAAAACAGCAGTGTTGTGTTTGCACACAGGATAGTTAAGTTCAATATATAATTTCATAATCTCATTCATTTTTTAGACTGGGAACTTGGCAGTGTGATGAGACTCTTCTCTACTTATGACATGCTTTCTTTCATACTACAGAGATATGACTGAGGTTGTTCATATCAAAGACAGGAAAGAAGCTATTCATGAACTCAAATATTCTCCAGATGGGAATTTCCTAGCTGTTGGTTCCAATGACAGCTCAGTGGATATATATGGGGTTGTTCAACGATACAAGAAAGTTGGGGAATGTATTGGATCCTTAAGCTTCATCACCCATATGGATTGGTCTTCAGACAGTAAATACTTACAGACCAATGATGGCAATGGAAAGAGACTTTTTTACAGAATGCCAGGTGAGATTCTGAGTTGCCTTCATGTTATTCGTTACTTTTGTAATAAAAGCGAAATGTAAATCTTGGTTCAAAGCATGGGGGTATAGGAAATTTTTTGTAAGTTCATAAGAATATTTGCCACATTTGAATAAGTCCAGCATTTTTCTGGCAAAGTTACTGAAGTATTTCTATCCTTATATGTTTACTCTTTTTTCCAATACATCTTTTTATACTATAGACGCTGCCTTATAATTTGTTTTGTTTCTCAAAAACCAGTTTTTGCTCCCACTTTTTTTAGAAGAATTAAAATGCAGAATTTAAATGAAATTCTGCAATAGCTTAATAGCTTTTCTCTTATGGAGCTTGGATATTAAATGAATTATCATTTGATTCCACTGAATGGTTTTTAAAATGTGTGGAGTAATCTGTATGCTGCGGATCAAAAGAAGTCTTAGGTTTTCTAGAACTATGTTTGCAGCAGATTGAGGAATTCAACTTAAAAGAGCTTTTACAGTGAGGAACTTTGTGATAACCCCATTATTGCAAATGTTTTCAAGACAATTTTCTTGAAAACTTGACTGAAATCTTGGAATAATTTCTATCAAGGTGGCTCCCTCTGTAGAGGACATATGCACATATTAGTATCTTAAAGCTTGAAATAAGTAGTCCTTATTATAATATGCCAGTGGCAGTATTTATCACAAAGCTTGACTTCTGTCTGTTGCATGCACTCTCTACATAATAGTCTGTATTCTTCTTACTCATCTTTGTAGTATTTGCATTTGTAGTAACTGTGTATTATCACCACTTTCTATATTGTCCATTCTTACACAAGATTTATTTTTTGCACATTCTTTTTCATTTTTCACAGAGCCTAGGAGCTTTTTACAACTCTCTGCTGAAGCATCTAATCATTCTATGCACATCTTTGATTCTGTGCACTGAATGCAGCAGAAGATGTGTAAGAAAAGATAGTGAGACTTTAATTGGACAGTAACAAATATACACAGGAGGAGCAATTTGAAGTTACATAGCTTTCAACCTGGAGTTGCTTCATATCTTAGAATATTAGATTGTGAAACTTTTTTTATGAAAAAAGTTAATGAAAGTCAGTGGAGTTAGAGGAATCTCCCAAATATTTCAAAATAACAATTGAATTGTGTAACACTTGAAATTCCACTATGAATTAAGGAGCTTACAGTTGTCTGGCACAAGACCTGCAGGACTTAGTTATGGCTATAACCAGTATTGTCCATCATTGTTTACATGGATTAGTGGCTGAAAGGCTGAGAAGTGAATTGTTGTCCTGCTCACCCTCTGCAGGTGTGGGTTCAGTCTGACTCACAGCTTTTGCCTTTGCTTGCATCGTTCTTGCGTTGCTCCAGCCCTTGCCTTCTGGCCTTTCCAGAAGACACAGTACCTGTTTAATGAGCCTTCGGTCTGACTCAGCTCCTCAGCTCTTACCTCGTGGGACTGGATCAATCTCATTACAGACAGAGCTGGTGTGAAATTATGTAACAAGGATCTAAACACAAAATTGGTGGTTTTAGTAATTTTCAGTGGCCAGATATGAGTTCTTCAGTTCTTGCTCTAAATAATCCAAGTTTCTACAATCATTCAGCAACAGACTTTTTTATGAACTTTATCTTAGAACTATTACATGTATTTTTGATAAACATTTAAAAAATAACACAGCCTCAAGCAGATACCAAGAAATAATAAAAACTATAAAGTACCAAACCTATGATTTTCTGTTAAATAATCTTGAGAAGTCTTCTTACTGATACTGCTGGTCATAACAGAGAGTACTAGATCAGGACAGTTTCAGAAGTCAGTTTTTAATACTGTTGCACTTGATTTGATTTTTAGAGAATTTTTTTAAATGTTACATTCTTTAAAACTGCATGAGTGAATATTCAAAATGGCTCTTTATTTTTTTTTTTTTTTAGGTGGAAAAGAAGTAACAAACAAGGAGGAATTGAAAGGCATTCAATGGGCATCATGGACCTGTGTTTCTGGCCTTGAAGTTAATGGAATCTGGCCCAAATATTCTGATATAAATGATATAAATTCTGTGGATGCAAATTTTATTGGTCAAGTTATGGTTACAGCTGATGATTATGGAATAGTAAAGCTCTTTCGATACCCATGTCTAAGAAAAGGTAGTGCTTTTTAAATTAAATTGTATGCATATTTTTAAATTGTGACCATTCAAGAAAAATGTATTAGAAGACTGGAAAATTAAATGGTTTTTAATACCACTTTTTTCCAAAAGAGTTAAAAAATGGGGGAATATCAGTCTTTAAAAACAACACCCAAAGCATTTCTTTAAGTACATAAAGCTTGAAGACATATCCTAGGACCTACCCATGCAGTTGTAGCCAGCATTAAACATGAATGGAGTCTAGAATGAAGCTCTTCAAACAGCTCTGAAACAATGAAGCCTTTCTGTTATAAAAGGATTATTTATAATGGAGTGTTGTTAGGACCTTAATTTCAGTAACTCATCCAATGATTGTTTTGTAGTTACGTAGCCATGAACACATTAACTGGATGTAACTGTACTACTGCTACCAGTTCTACTGCTAAACGTGGCAGGAGATAAGTTTCTAGAAGTTCTCAGCACTGAGATGTACACTGGGGACATGTGCTACAAGCATGTATATGGGGGTGTTTTCACAGACCTAAATATACATGAACTAAATAATGGTATTTTTTCAAAGTAAAAGTAATAATTGTCAAAATGTTAGTTTGTAAAAAATAAAATAAAATTAATACAGTGAAATTTTAAAAATCTCTGGCACACCTCATACAGCATTATCATAGGTCTTCTGTCCTTATGTTTAAGTTGATTAAGTTATTATATTTTGGAACCTAAACTTAAAAATGTATCTTATACACAGATTAAAATCTGTGAAAACTGCAAAAAGTTGTTGCTATTGATTAAAATACCAGTAGCAATTAGAATATCTTTATTAAACACTACTTTTTCTATGGGTTCCTTAATATGATTTTCTGAGGTGCTTCTGGAACATTTATTTCATATTGAGAGGGATTTTTATTCTTTTTCTAGGGGCAAAGTTTAAAAAATATCTTGGTCACTCTGCTCACGTGACAAACGTCAGATGGTCGCACGATCACCAGTGGGTTGTTTCCATTGGCGGAGCTGATCATTCTGTCTTTCAGTGGAAGTTTGTTCCCGACCGCAAGTTGAAGGACACTCTTCATATAGCACCCCAAGGTAAGTAACTAACTCAAAAACCACTCACAAAAGGGTGGAAGGCAGGAAGTCTAGAAAAGAAGTAAAAGTCTTTGGTGCCGGTATTGAAATAAATATTCAAAATTGTAAGTTTGCACAATTACAACAGTTGTTGTTCTTTAGTTTAATTTAATGTGCCTGAAGCACCTGGCAGAGTTGTCTAATACTTGCCAGTACCCTTTTGTCCTGGTTTGGCATTAATTGATCTTGGGTGAAGATGAAAATAATCTGTGCATTGGCATTTGACCAACAGCCAAACAATCACACCTGTGTGTTCAGGCTAGAAAGGGTATGAAAAACTCCTCACTGCTGTGCTTCCTTTGTGAAGGAAGATGTTAAAAGTTCAAATCATAGATACTAATGTCTGAATTCTGTATATATTGCCCTTTACTAAACTGACAACAACCAGATGCTCAGGTGTCACTGGAAAAATATGGTTTTATACCAATTTGTTTAAAATTTTGAAGTATTTAGATGGTAATTGAAGTATTGTAACTGATTTTTTTTGTTTGTTTGTTTTTGAAGCAGAATATAGATGTTTAATATTTGGGAAAAAATGAAGATCATGTTTCCACTAGTGACTAATTAAACAATTATTCTCATGAGTTTCCTAAAATCAAAGCAGTTAACTGAGTGCCTCCATTGGAAATTCCTAAAGGAATTTAGACAATCCTTTGGGGAAATGAGAACATAGAATTACAATAAAATAGGCTGTTTCACCATTTAATTGCTCAGATCAGATGAATATGTATCAGTGTGGATCCAGCAAACAGGTAAATAAATACAAATGCAGTGCTGAACTTGTCAGTGACAAATGCAGAAGGAAACAATAATAATTTTCCTACATGTCAAACTTTACATGACTACCCTTTTTCTCTGCAGTCACAAAAAATTTTGCCTCTTCTTTCCCATCTATAATTTTTTCACTCCCCCTAACTTACTTGAAGAATTTCTACTTGCATCGGTGTCTCACTTTAACATAAGTTTTGCTTTGGACCATTTGTTAATTTTGTGCAAGTGTTAGTTTCTGCTTTGTACTGATTATTTCATTATCTTTTTTTTTTGCCTTTCCTCCTAACATTAGAGATGATGAAATATTATTATTTAATAAAAACTAACTCACTCCAACACCCAAAATTATCATATTTATGGCTTATTTTTTATGCAGCAGCAAAATTGTTCCTGTCAATTATTAACAGTTTATGTTGTAGTTAACATAAGCATTGATTATCAAATCAGAAACTTTAAGCAGTTAGTTTAAACTTTCTGGCTGGTAATTGAGGTTTTTTATTTTTTATTTCTGTTTTCTTGGTGATAGAGAGTCTGGTTGATTCTAATAGTGATGAATCAGATTCAGATCAGTCTGATGTTCCAGAGCTGGACTCTGAAATTGAACAAGAGACACAGATCACCTATCGTCGACAGGTAAAGATTTTAGTTTTAATGGCAGTTGGGAGCTTCCTAGGGTTTAAGTTGGTCATTTATGAGGATTGTTGAAATCTCAGAATTGGGGAGACTGCATGAGAACTTACCAAATCCTTTAGAATTTTTGTTACTTGATGCTTTCAGAAGGATTCAAGGTTATTAAAATATAATTATTAATTAATAATTACAAGTAAGATGTTAATATTAATATTAACGGAGAAAAATTATTACATGCAATCCTAGAATGCAATTTAAAACCAAGTTGCACTATATAGTCACCAGCTATAGGTCTAGGAGGGTTTTTTCAGTTATGTCAGAATACCATTTTCATGAGTGATAACAGCAGCTGAATTCTCAGAAACATGTTTTTCTGATGAGTTTTCTAAATTTTAAGTGTGCTTTTTCTTAAAGGTTTACAAAGAAGATCTACCTCAACTTAAAGAGCAATGCAAAGAAAAAAGAAAAAGTGCAGCTTCTAAGAGACGTGAGCGAGCTCCAGGGAACAGTATAAGACTACATTTTGTTCATGGGTATGCAAACTAGGATTCTTTAAAATATAGAAGCAGACTATTTGACTTTGTGTTTATAATTCAATAATCTGATTAAAGGCTTTTATATCTGTTGCTTTATGATTTGCTATTTTATTTATATCTGTAGAAATAAATTTACACTAAATAAATAGAAAGCTTTGATGCCAGCATACTAATTCTACATGTGAATTCTGAAGTGAATTTGCACTCAGACTTTAGCTGGTACTTATTGCTTGAATACAGGTGACTAAAAAAAGTATTCAGTAATCTCACCCATACTTTTCAGTAGTTCTCTTTGATGTATGATTTTGATACCTAGAACAAAAACTCCGTCATTGAAGATGACTGGGTTCTGGACAAAGTGGTGTTTCTAGCAGTAATTTATTAAAATAATAGTAAAAAAATTATAAACTGTTTGTACCTAGTCTGAAACAAGTTACATATTCCTCTCTTAGTTTAGGAATTAAATGTAATTCTTAATAGGTCTTGTGATTTTGTTAAAAATTAATTTATTCTCTTTGGTGCTAATTTGAGTAGCTCATTTGAGAATGACATTTGGATGCATCCTGAAATCTTACGATTTCATCATTAGGATTAGTAGTTTCCCATAATTCTTCATAAGTGAAGAATTTTTATCAGAAACAAGTTGTGGTGTTTTAAAGCAAACTGGTACTAGATGTTACTGCATTAGAATAATGATCAGAAATATGAATTCTCTTGATATAAAGCAAAACCAAAGCCTTTACTCAAGTAAGATGTTGCAAGTCAAGTTTTCCTTTCAAAAGATACCTCTTTGCAGGAATACAGCTTATTTTTTCTAAATGCAGGGAGAAGTTACTGATACTGTCTGTCTTTATAATGGCACTTAAACAATTTTAGTAGGACTCCACATGGAATGCTTAATAGATTAATTGGCTAAGAATAGTTAATATTCAAATCAGCAATTTTGTCTGCAGAAGACATGCAGTCTAGTGCATGCAGAGTAGTAGCTTTGGAAATAATGACAACTGGGAAGCTTGGTACAGAGTTGGGGTTTTTTATTTCTCTTTTTGGTGCTCCAGAATTCAGAATTGAGGATTTTTATATCTGTATAGAAAATGCATTAAGGTGGGTAGCTGCTGTATGTAGTCTTTAAGATTTGGTCTAAGACTAAAACCAAATGATCCTGAAGAAGATGTAGCACAAGCAAGGGCCCTGGATCTTTGGTATTATTGTTATTTCCTTCACAACAGAAGTGAAGCTTGACCAGAATATCCAGGAATGACCAGAAGTAGAATGTCCTGTTGAGTTCTGTCTGGTTACCCAATGGGCATCAAGAAAACTAATGAAGAATCCATGCTGAACAACAGATTTTTCTCAATGTCCAGGCTGTTAACTTTAAAGTGACCCACATCCAAGTGAGTAATAGGCATATTCTCTGATTCAGGAAGTCTGCTTTGCTTCATCTTTCTCTAGCTGCAATGGAAATGTCTTGGATGTTTCTTGAGAATGTAAGAAGTGGCGCTTTTTTTAATTAGGGGAATCAGCAGCTCTTTTCCTTTTCTTTGTTTTTGAGCTTGTTGGTCTTGTGTTTTGAATTTGTCAACTGCCTTGAAAGACAAATTTTTAAAAATTTCTTGATAACCTGTATGTAATATCTTAAACCTCTGGTTACTTCCTGATTTGGAAGGGAATAAAATTCAGAGTATGTGAGCCAGCTTCTGACTAACACGGATATAGAAAGAACTTCTGTTAAGAGGTTTAAGTGTGTCTTTCTCTAAGAGATCTGGCGCAGTTATGATCAGAAACAGGATGTTAAATTGGTGTACAAATTTGGCCTCTTTTTGACTATTCCTGTATTTTAATTCCGCCATGTCTTTGGCAGGGTGGTGGTTCAGAAACATGAACTACTCAGATGAACCTTTTTCTTTGACTCAATGCTTATTATGACTTCTTTTTGCTGGCAGGAAATAAGGATGCACATGTAATACTCATGCCCCGTATTCTCTCAGAGCTCTGTTGCTAATTTCACACAAATGATTTCTTGTATTTTTGAATATTCATAGAATTATAGAATGATTTTTCAATATTCAAAGTGTTTAAGTACAATCTAGTTTGAGTTTTAGGGTATCCACTGAATTAACCTTGCTGTAAGATGAAATTTGGTAGCAGTTTCAAGACGATATGGGAATGCTTTGAAAGTTGAGCCTTATAACACCTTGCATGGATTCCTACAACTACCTACAAATACTATCTGAAGGGAATAGCCTATGAGTGGGTTCTCTTGAGAAAACTACTTCTATGCAGAATATATTTTAAAAAAATATAAGGCTGCACATTTGTACTAAAGAGTCTGTTCTTAGTCATATCAGTTTTGACATTTGGTTCTTCTAAAGACTTTTAGGGGAGGTGTTGGTCTACACATGGAAACTTCCTCCATATACTTTGAAGAGTAACATGCAAATTTTGAAACTCTTACAGCATTAGACCAGCTATGGACATTGACTCTTTTCCCAGAGAGGACAGTACTTGTGAAGTTGCCTGTTAGTTGGATATAAATGCATACCTTGCAAATGTGGGTAGGATTCAGCTTCACATTACAGAAGTCACAGTGATATGCCCAAAAGGAGATGGTTTTATGTGTATGTCTTAATTTCCATCACAGTCATTGGATAGCCAGTTGGTAGCCAGTGGAGCATAAGGAGTGATTTGGCTCAGGTACAATAAAATGCTGATGGCTGACCAGCTGAGCAGTCCTGCAGGTTCAACTTATTGCATTGACAACACTGTTGATTAAAATGTAGGAGTTAATGTACCTAACAAACATGTGAACACGTATGTTTACATGTCTTAACCTCAAACTGAATGCAGCCCCAGCTATTCATGATTTTGGCAAATTTTTTTCCCTATGTAGCACTGAGGAAGCTACATCTTCTGACAGTTACTGTCATATTAACTTGAATCAATCCTGGATAATAACTATGGCAGAATGCAGTCTTATTTTTATTGTGCTTGCTATATATTATCCTGTAACTACAGTACAGAAATTGCTTTCATTATCATTTAATTTATAGTTGCTAATCAAGATGCCTTGTAAATTTCTTTGGTTTGTTTTCTGCACGTGAATAAATTATTTCTCTTAATGCTTTTTCAGAGGTTAGCTAGTAATCTCAGTTCTAAATTGGTTTAATAAAACAGAGATGGAAGTATTTTGGAACTGTGTAGAATATTCTTAGGGAATGATCTTCCACATTGAAATATGCTCATTTTCATTGCTGTTTAACCAAGGCCCATCAGTTTCCCTCTGGTGAAAAGTCCCTGTATTGTCAAGGAGTTTACTAACTGGCACGTAGGAAGGACACCAAATGTGTTTAATTGGGTGACAGAGAGTCTTCATTGATGCTGCTTGATATTTTGGCAAAATATGGTGTATTTTAATTGTAAATAATTGATTGTACTAATTTTTGTAGTAACTAGAAGAAATTAAGTAAAATTAACTTCTATCACAAGAAGTGATGAGTAATGAGAACTATTTTCCTGCATCCTAGATACAATTTGGGTATTTTGAGTAGTCCTGTGCTACATGGCATTAAAGTATCAGTTTCACTGTGTTTAATTTAGGGTATATAGGCAATTTTTATGATGAGGTGGGAATATTCTGAGTTTCTGGGTTGAATGTTGGAAGACCTGAAACCCTTTTTCATGGGTTCTTCATGCCTTTTACTTTTATAGGTGACTGCTAAGCTTGCAAGAAATCGCTCAATGTCCAGTATTTCTTTCAGCATGTATATTTCCATAGATGTTGTTTTTTTGTTGTTGGTTTTTTTTTTTTAGTATTCTCCTTTAGGGTGCATATTTGGTCTTTATTTTTTTAAAACTACTCCGTGCTCGCAAAGGAAATCCAGTATGTTTAGCAGAGCACAGTGCAGAGTGAAGCACAGGAAAATGATGTCTGAGGAACAATAGGTTCAGGTACCTTCTTTAGCTCTGTGCCTGCCTTTATAATCCCTGCCCCTCACCAACTGTTGTCATGTACTTAAAATGGTGATGTTACATACTGTCATAGGTTATTTTTGTTTTCTTTCTTCACAGTTACTGTAGGCCACTGTGTATCCTGTTCCTTAAAAGCCTAGGGCCTGTACATCTAAGAAAACTACAAGCAGACAGCACTTTGGGTTAGGCAGAAATCAGCTTCAGAACATCTGCACATGCTGCTGCAGGGGAAGGTGGTTAGTGAAGGATGTGGGTGGAGGGAGAGCAAAGCAGGACTCAAGAGCCTGCACCTGTATTGTGAGTCTAAGTTATTGTCCACTTTGAGAAGAGCAGGGAGCAGACATACCTGAGCCTCAGATCAAATGGGAAGAGAGATTCTGCTAGAGACATTGAAGTAACTCAGGAGACACTGAAAAATTGCTGAACTAGGACCAAGTCTGAAGTTAAGAATACCAATCTAAACAGTGAGTTGAAGGGAGTCTTATTTAAAGGCTTTATTTCTGTGCTATCACAGTTTCTGCTGGTTTAAGAAGTTCACTTCTCTTTTTTTTTTTTTCTTTTATCTAATGAGACCCAGCTTTGGACTTCAGAGTGTGGCAGACAGTACAAAGCTGGGAGGAGGGGCTGGCAGACCTGATGGCTGTGCTGCCATCTGGAGGGACCTGGACAGGTTAGAGAACTGGGCAGGGAGGAATTTCATGATCTTCCAAAAGTCTGAGATCCAAGTTCATGAAAAACAATATTCTTCTGGGGGGCAGTGGGCTTGGACTATTGGCTGGTCTGTTTAAAAACTTTGTGTGACAATAATTTTTCTCTAATCGCATACAATGACACAAGTACCATTCATTGTGTGTAAATTAGGTGAGCCAACAGAAATACACTGTATTCAAATCTGCTCCAAGTTTGTGCTCTGTTGTTTTCCAGTAAAGCAGAGATCTAGTGTTAATGAACATGGATCCATGGGTTCTGGAATATTCATTAAAATTGGTCATCTGCCTTACAGATTCATTACTTCCCCAGTGCAATTGGTTGTGCTGAGTACACAGGGAAAGATGTATATAACTTCATGATCTTAGTCACACCTAGGAAGAAATGAGTGTAATGAGATAGTGCATACAGACCTCAGCTGGGAATTGGCCTACTCATGCCAGTTCCTGTACCACTAAGAAGGCAGACAGGTTTTCCTTCAAAAAAAGAAACTGTTCTAGAAAAAAATTATGCATTTGTTTTCTGTTATCAAGTTTCCAGAAACTATCATGTTTTGCTGCCTTATTTTTGAGCAGTAGGAAATAGACAAAAGTAATACTTTGAACATTTTCTACTTCACTTAACTACATGTTGCATGCCCAACTTCTCCATGTGGTCTGAAAAAATTACTAGCTATTATTTTCTCTTCTAAACTAGTTGTGGAAAATAAAAATTAGGTGCCACTTTTAAACTAGTGCTTGTAGTACTGATGTCTGAGTAGTAAAATAGATTGATAAATTGGTGTTCTTTTAAGAACGGGAAAGCATATTCATAATTTTAAAGCACCAAAACAGTAATTGGTAAGTAATGTGAGTTTTACACGCATAAAATTCATCCAGCACAATAGTACCTCAGTTTAAGCATATATGTTTACGACTTTGGTGAACAAACCTTTTTTGTTTAATTAGTTACAGAGGTTACGACTGTCGAAGCAATCTCTTTTACACGCAGACGGGTGAAATCGTATACCATGTGGCAGCAGTGGGAGTGGTGTACAACCGGCAGCAGAACACACAGCGCTTCTATCTGGGTCATGATGATGACATTCTTTGCCTTGCTATTCATCCCTTAAAGGACTATGTGGCAACAGGCCAGGTAGGGTTCATGTTTATCTACAATAACAATCTGAAGTTGTTACTACTTTAGACGGCCTTGGAGGTCTTGGGGGAAAAGCATCCAGTGTACATTTATTCAGGTGAAGGATTGCATTTCTGTTGTAGATGGAATCATGGTAAAAACCTGATGTGGAAGTGTTTTTTACAGTTATTTATATTATGGCAAGATTCCATATTTTTTCTGAACCTCATTTAAAACTTCGACTAGATTAATATTTTTTATTCAGCATTATGTTGCAGCTTCTTGATAACAGGTGGAGAAAATGTGCAGATTTTTTCATATCTTGTTTGTGAGGTTAGCTACACTAGCATTGCATTCATTTACTATTTTGTAGTATGAGATGAGCTGTTGTTATAGTCTGGCATTCCATTTTAAAGCATTATATTTTTCATTATCACCTATACACAAACTGTGGACTGTTCGTGCATGCGACAAAGGGATGTATGTTGCTCGAGTTCATTCATACTAATAATAGTTAATTTTATCTTTATCCAGACAGTTATTTTATGTAAATTATTTTCACTCATGTTTTCAAACAAGTCATCCAGTAAATAGTTATATACTAGGACTTGAAGGTTTAAGCTCATGTTTTGGGGTTTTTTATTTCTGCTTATCATTTTTATCATTCCTGCCCTTGTTATTGTATAATAAATTGGGAAATATGTGAACTGAATTTTTAAATAGAAATAAACTACTGTTTATTATGCTCTTGGTTGCTATAGAAATGTTGAAATTAATGTAACTCTGTAGGTCAGTTAAGAAATCAACCCGAAATATAAGAACTGAGTTCATTTAATTTTGGAGTAGTAAAGCTATGAATAAAAATGTCCCTGAATTTACAATAACTTATGCTATCAGCAGAAAGATACACTTCATTATATACTGTTTTATATGTATGTTGTATAGGTAATGCAGTAATCAAATTCTTCATGCCACCCTGGTTCAGATATTCCTGAAAGTTTTGAAAAGCTTTACAAATATCTCAAGTTTGTGACAAAACCAGAAATAGATCCTACTTTTTCTGAGCCTTAAATGCAAGAGAGTTTTGTTCTAGTTTTGCAATCTTTTTATTTGTGCACTGAGGTGCTAAACCCTTGGAATAGCAAATAATCTTTTTAAGTGCTGAATAGTAATGCTTTTGTACATAGCTGAAAAGAATAAGCTATATTGCATTTCTTACCAGGTTAGTTACCTACATTAGTGTATTCTAGTGGAAATTATTCCACAGTTATCAGTGTATTAGAATCTGCCTTATAATGACACTAGAAAGCAGCAGAAGTCACCTTGATTTCTGAAACATAGAGAAGCTGACATACTAGCGATAAAAATAACCTTTTATTTTTAGACAGGGAATGATTGATGAAAAATTGATGGAATAAATATGCTACAGTGCAATCAATGAAGGGCTTTTTCCCCCTCTCCCCCCCTGCCAGGAGGACTTCAGTTAATTGTGATTACTGTGCCTAAATCAGCTGGGAAGTCATATTTGGGAAGCAGCAAAAAGAATAATGTTCATCTAGCCAGACAGCTGTAATACTAGGAAAATTCTATCAGTGTATTTTCTTTTCAAACAGTTTTTGAAGTATTCTTAATGCTTTTTAAACAACTATTTAAAATAACTGTGTAAAATCTAACTTGTGTTTAAAACAACTGTGTAAAATAACTGAGAAATTTAAAAAGAAAAGGCTATGAATGTGTATACTTTCAGGTTGGTCGTGATTCCTCAATACACATTTGGGATACAGAAACAATAAAGCCACTCTCAGTATTAAAGGGCTATCACCAGTATGGTGTTTGTGCTGTTGATTTTTCAGGTAATAAGTATTTATTTATTTATTTACACTTTTCCTTTTCTGTGTGAAAGTACAAAATAATCAGTTCTAGTGAGAAACTGGGGATTCCTTTACAATGAAAATTTTGCATTGAAAATATTCCCCAGCCTTCAATGTCAAATGAGAGCCACTGTTTTAAAATGAACCTTCGTTAGAAGGACCTCCTTTGGAATCTTGCACACAGGAAATGCAAGAACAGGTTCTGTCCTGTTTGACAGCTGAGTGAGCACTTCAGAATCTCTTTTGGTTATATGAGACAGGTGCACAGATCTGGAGTGTTGTGTCTGCTTTTGCAAATGTGTAAGAAGAGTTTTGAGAAAATTCATCAGGTGTGCAGCTTTTTCTTTTTTAAATGAAATCCTGAAGGCCATGTGGGTTGCACATTGATACATTCAGGATTTCCACTCAGGGGATTGTTCTGGTCAGAAACACAGGCTCTCTCTCCACCTTAAACTAACATAATCAGTTAAATCCCTTGCGATTTTTACACCCCCTACACTGAATTCTTGTACCAATATTAAATTTCCTCTCCTCCGCTAGCTTCTTGTAATACTTTAATTTTTTGGATTTACTGGATAAGATCTCTGAACTCACAGTGAAGATGTGTGATCACCAAGATGAATGGTTTGTGGCCTGTGATGCTTCTTACTTTTGTTTCTCCTTTTTCAAGATATGAATCTCATTTCTCAAATTCTGGCATGGATATATAGCAATTCCTAAAATGGATACATGTCAGAAAGTCACTGATCTTGAGTGAGCACAAACAGCTTGTTTATTGAAGGTTAATGTGGATTATGTGTCAAAACTTTTCCAAGACTTCATAGTACTACTAAGCTTAAGGGCATTTCACGAATTTCATTGTATGGCTTTCCCATTCAGAAATGAACAGAGATTTTCAGGGTGAACATAAAGTTTTCACAAGAACAGCCTGTGGTGAATGTTGTTGTGCAACTATGCCAGCAGCTAATTGAACAAGGGATTTAATATGAACAGAGAGCCTCTAAGTTCAAATTTGAGACAGGATAATTTAAAGTCCTACACTTCATCCAAGTTTAAAAGCAAATGGATGATAAAATATGCCTCTAAAAAACATCATAAGCTTATTTACTTGTTTGTACATTCTTGTTATATTATTTGTGAAGTTATAATTTTTTTAATATTGTTTCTTATTATTGTAACATAGTTATCTATCTACTCTCTTAAAAATAAATTTATTATTCTAGCGGATGGGAAACGATTGGCTTCTGTTGGAATAGATGACAATCACACTATTGTACTCTGGGATTGGAAGAAAGGAGAAAAGCTTTCAGCAGTAAGGTAGGAATTTAACTCTTTCAAAATCTGTACCTAGATTTACTATCAAATAAAAGGAAAATATATTCATTAAAGAATAAGAGTCCTCTAATTAATTAGCAGTTTCTATTGCATAAGTGATGCAGGCAATAACTTTTATGTCATGTTTAAAACTTCCTGTGGAAGAAGTAAATAAAGGTCTGATAGTCAACAAGAACTACTACAGTGACTGCTCAGCTGGGGAAGAGAGGTGGAATAGAAGACCTTGCTGTGTTCTGAAATAGCTTCTTTAAAACTCTGTGCACTTCTGTTTGCCCTCTTAAAGATGGTGACATTCAGATCTTAAAGATCGTGTGTTCACATCTTTTTCTTCAGAGGTCATACCTTTCTTGGGATAGGAATTTGCAGTTGTTATGCAGAGTTCCTTTTTCTTCAGGGTTCTTTCCTTTTCCTTCCTGAGTCCTGACCAGTCTAATCTAACTCTGAAGTCAGCTCTGCTTTGAACAGGAAATTGGACTAAGTAACAGGCAAAGGTTAAATATTTCGGAAGTTTCTTTGTGTCTTCACAGATTATTTAATATATGTTTATTAAATAGTTTTAATCTACAATATAGAATACTATTTCTAATTTTAAGTAATGTTATTTAAACCTTTGACTTTTTTTTTTCCTAAAGATCTGTTGCTTAAAATTGAGCAGTAGTGTGGGTAGGTTTTGTCCCATTCTGTCTGGATTCAGTGATTATACTCTAAACAATGTTCTAGGTAGATTTTAAAAATATTTATTACTCTCTGCAGTACAATTAAAAAAGTTTCAGCTTCCCTTTCATCCATTAAGTCATTATTGCTCTTTAATTTCATTTACTCTCATTTTATTTTTAAATACATGTTGAATTTCTTATCAACTGAAGAATAAAAATTCTGGGTCGATGATGTAGATGAAGAAGGATACTCCCTTCCCAGTTACTTGTCAAAAGCTTGGCTTCTCTGAAGACATTTGTCTGCCTTTCACCTAATTTTTTTCCTTTTGTTTTGTTTCTCCCACCCACACAAAGGATGGGAAGAGATGAATTCTGATCAAAAAAATTGATCAGAATTTTTGAGAGCAGCATCTGCATTTTGAAGATGGCTTTGAGTTTGGAAAGAAACTGTTTCATGCTTTCAGCCACTGGTTCATCAAGTAGTCTGAAAGGACAGAAAAACAAAGATTATTCCCACTTTTGAACAGGGAACAAAAACTGGGCACTCTTCTGCATTTTAAGTAAAGAAAAACAACCTGTAAACATTGCCTTGCATAGACAGCAAACATAGTTGAAAGCTGTTGTTCAAACTGTAGGACTGAAGTAGAGAATTAGTTTTATGAAAACATATTAAGAAATATAAAACACAAGAGGTTTTAATGTTTTTAGAACCAACTGTAATTTCCATCAAAGATGTAATAGCAGCATAATTTTTTTTTAACAAAACAGAAAAATCAACTAAATGGTGAATGACAAGGGCAGTTTGTTTTCAAAATAAGCAAATTTAAAATAAGATTTGTAACTTTACTCCTTTAAGTGTCATTATGAGCTGTCAAAGATCTAAATGCCATATACCCAAACTAAATGCAAATATATATTCTTTGGGAAAGAAAATGCCTCCTTGTGCCTCTTTGAAGTAACATCATTACTCACCTGCCTTGGAAACTGAAGGGTAATGAAAATAGAACAGCACTCAGTATTTTGCTTCTTTAGCTTCTTACTTCCTCACTATAAACTCTAAGTAATGATTTGAAAGCAAATATTAGCAGTATAGAGCAGGTATACATAAAAATAAAATCAAGAAAACCCTCCCAAATCTATTAAAAATAATAATAGTTATATTTTATTTAAATTATTTTGCTTTGCATTTCAGGGGAAGCAAAGATAAGATTTTTGTTGTTAAGATTAATCCTTACATGCCTGATAAACTGATTACAGTTGGAATTAAACACATGAAATTCTGGCGGAGAGCAGGTAAGAACACTTCAGAATCAGAGCATTTTCTGTTACTGACAGTATAACTATTGCATTTCTTGCAACAATATGAAGTTCAGATCCTGAAGGACTTGTGTTATACCACATAAAGGTTCCCTGTTTTGTTTCATACTGTTGTAATGATATAAATCTGTCTTTCTAGCCAGAAGTTACCATGTGCTATAGCTGCCAAATGATTTTAGATATATAAATTTTATAATTGTTTTATATCTAACATTTCTATTATCCACAGGCTACTATAAGTAAACCTCTAAAATAAAGTTAGAAATCCTCTCACTGAACATCATGAAAAGAGTAGGATGTGAAGATCTAAACTTTATTTTTCTTTCTGGACAATTCATTAGTAGTTTCTATAAACTGTGTGTGGCAGATGTTAATTTTCTTGTTTAGATGCAAGTTTACAAATACATTTTGTCTATATAAGTCCATATAAGTATATGTGCATATTCAAATACAGATTCAAGTAGTAAGTTAAAAGTAAGACTGAGTCTTCTGGGTTTTTCTTTTTTAATTTTTTGGTTTAGTTATTGTTTTTTGTTTTTTGTTGGGGTTTTTTTTGTTCAGTTGAGTTTTTTTGTGGGTTTTGGGGTTTGTTTGTTTTTTTTTGTTTAGTTTTTTTTTATTGTAGTGAAAGGTGGCAAATAATAAAATATATTTTGTGAGATCTCTTCTCAAGCTTATTTTTTTGGGGGAGCATGGGTGGGCTAAAATAAAAGGACTTTTTGCTCTGGTTATGGTAATATAGTTCTATATTCCAAGCAGATATCTAATGACTTGTTTTTGGTCTGAACCAGGAGGAGGACTAATTGGGAGAAAGGGCTGCATAGGTGCATTGGGAAGAACTGACACAATGATGTGTGCAGTGTATGGCTGGACAGAAGAGATGGCGTTCTCTGGAACCTCCACGGGGGATGTGTGTATTTGGAGAGATGTGTTTCTCATAAAAACTGTCAAAGCACATGATGGTCCTGTGTTCAGCATGCACGCATTGGAAAAAGTAAATAAACTGCTCATTGCTTTTTTTATGTCTGGACGAAAAAGTCTATGATAAAGCTAAACTTTTCTCAGACTCAGGAAATCCATCCATCATTATTTTCATTAAAGAAAAGCCTTGTGTGGTCCAAACTCAAAACAGTGTTTTATACCTTAGTGCAAAATAGTGTTTATGTGGTCTCTTATTCTAGTTATGTAGCATGCTGTTTCTCAATCCCTTGTGGTCAGTGACATCTTTTTCAGTAATTTTCATAACCTCTTACTAAAGAAATAACAGTAACTGATTTAAGCATCAGAAAGTTCAATGGAATATGCGAGCTTGTGAGAGAGGACGAAGACCACACTTATACTATTTTGTGCTGTAATTACTGTCTACCCATAAACAAATTCATTCAGTAGATCATTAAGTACTTTCTCCAGGTTCTTGGCTTCTTTTTAGCCCAGGAAAGCCTTAAGCATATGCTTAAATATGGATGAGTGTTCCAGTTAGATTATTTGTGTCTTTAAAGTTTTGTATATGTTGGTTTTGCTAGGTTAGACCAAGTCACTCCACCTCCCAATATCTGCATTTCAGAAAAGTAGTGGTGGACAACACGTGTTATTCATACTGCAAGAGCTGAGTGCTCTGAAGGATAGAACTAATGATTTCAGTATTAGCCATACCTGTTGCTTCTTTAAATACCTGCATATAATTTTTAAAGACAGAATGGCACAAATGTTCATATATTTGAAAAATAAAAGCACTAATCAAATTTCTGCAGTACTAAGTCTGGTTTTGAGTAATGGGAAGAAATGCCAAAGGGATATGGAGGCTAAATATCAAGGAAAACACTATAGTATGTTGGTTATCTTATTTTTCTAGAATGGTGGAAGCATCCAGGTTAGAACTTCTAAATCCAGCCTGTGTACATGCACTGTACAGAACTGTGCTGCCTTCATGGGAGGAGAAATCATTCATTTTGTTGCTCCTGTTCTTTTCATCTCTAACATCTGTAGCTCTGTGCATTACACTGTTGTATTATAGTCCATTTTCAGTATTGGCAGAAATCACTGAAAAATTAAGGAAACATAATAATCAATTATAGCTAGTGATTTTTATTTCTTTCCCCCCAGGGATTTGTCACTGGAGGAAAGGATGGAGTAGTAGCTCTGTGGGATGATACCTTTGAACGCTGTCTCAAAACCTATGCCATCAAAAGGGCTGCTCTGGCTCCCGGATCCAAAGGTAACACAGACTTTATGCTATGTTTTGTTCTATTTTTAAAGTACTTTCTTTCAAATCTTTTTGAAATTGCTTTCCACAGTAAGAGAGAATCCACATCTGACATAATGAATACTAAAATATATTTTTTTAAGCTTTATTGATTCTAAATAAGAAATTTTTCTATTGGTACAGGAGTCGTGTGTTGTAGGGTCTGTTTGCACATTTGGTGGGTGCAGGTCATAACATTTAGTTTACAATTAGCCTAAATTAATTGATCTAGCTGTTCTTATCATCCAGGTGTTTTCTTGCTTTGTTTTGTTTTTATTCAAGTGGCAAGCAACAAGTCTATTATATTTCTGGTCATGAAATCTCTTACCTGATCTTTCGGAGAAAGAAAGGAATTCAGAACTGTGGTTAGTTTTGTAAGGTATTTGTAGTTAATTTTCTGTAAATGCATATCTCTTTTGAAGTAATTAAAGAACATTTTCATTCCTATTTTTACCTGTTTATACCACTTGTTCTTGATCTTAATGCTAATTTATTGTTCCCTGTATTTTCATCCTGGATAGCTTTTTCTCTTCCATCCCCTTTCCTTAAAATGATGTTTGCTGTGTCCTACAGTACACAATATGATTTTCAATCATGATGAATGTAAATACTCATTAATGAAAACATTGTACTCCAGAGTGTCTCATTCTCATAGCTTGTTTACAAAAAGCTAGAATTGGAGGTACCATAATTGGTAGCAATTGGTGTTATGGTTGATACTTCACGGGCACAGTCAGGCTGATTAAACTTCTTCATGCACTGCTAAATCCTCCCAAATGAATCCAGACATGTTGCTTCATGCAGGAATGTTTTCACTGTTTATTACTGAGTAGATTTTTCTACAGTGAGAATATCATGTGCATAAGCGTGAAGAATCCTCTTTAAGGCATACTTGAGAATCCTATCTTCTAACATTTTAATGTTCTAGGTCTTCTCTTAGAAGATAATCCTTCTATACGTGCCATATCGTTAGGACATGGTCATATTCTAGTGGGCACAAAGAATGGTGAAATACTGGAGGTAGATAAAAGTGGACCAATAACTCTGCTGGTTCAGGTAGGTGTTAAATATCAGTCAAATATGTCATACCACAAAAATTATTTTATTTTTCAAGTAAAGACTTGTGCGATAAGAAGCACTTTAACTACTAATGAATCACTTTTAGTTAGACTAGACCATTATGACTCCTTAATGAGCAAGACAGAATATAGAATTTCATTACTAGTTTGTTCAATGAGTTCATCCTTCCAAACAGACCAAGATCACAGATCTGTTTTGAAAAAATAAGAAAAGCGTATGAAATAGTGGGTCCTCCTCCAAATTCCTTATTAACTTCTCCTGAGTACTAATTACTCTTATTTTTAAAAGTTGTCTCCTTGGCATTTGTTTTGAGAATTTACTTGTAATTATGTAAAAAAGTTTTGCCATACCAAACTGCATTTTTTTAAGCTTGACTACAAAACAGATTTTCACATTGCATCAACATAGTATTTTCTTTCATAGTTAAGTAAAAATCTCTGGATTCTCTCCTTTCTGAGTGGCCAGTGCAGTACATGTAGAACTGTATTTGTTAGAAGAAAATATTAGAACCTAAGGTAAAGAAAAAACCTAGTTCATAGAATAGTTTGGGTTGGAAGGGACCTTTAAAGGTCATCTCATCCAAACCCCCTGCAGTAATCAAGAACATCTTCAAACAGATCACACTATTCAGAGCTCCATCCAATCTGACCTTGGATGTTTCTGGGAATGGGGCATCTGCAACATCTTTGGGCAAGCTCTCCCAGTGTTTTACTGCCCTTGTCATACAAAATTTCTTTCTTCTATCTAGTCTGAATCTACCCTCTTTTACCTTAAACCCAATACCCTTGTCCTGTCACTACAAGCCTTACTAAAAAACGTCCCCCTATTCCTCATAAGCCCCCTTTAAGTACTGAGAGGCTGCAACAAGGCCTCCCTGAAGCCTTCTCTTCTCCAGACTGAGCACCCCCTCCTCTCTCAGCCTGACTTCTTAGGACAGATGTACCAGCCTTTCTGTGGCCCTCTTCTGGACCCATTCCAACAGGTCCACGTTCTCCTGTGCTGAGGACTCCAGCGACAGACACAGTACTGGAGTCTGACCAGAGGGGAATAGAGGGGCAGAATCACCTCCCTTGACCTGCTGGTTATGTTTCTTTTGATGCAGCCCAGGATGCAGTTTGCTTTCTGGGTTGCAAGTGCACGTTGCCAGTTTGTTGTCCACCAAAACCTCCAAGTTCTCTTCAGGGCTGCTCTACGTCTGTTCTCTGCCCAGCCTGTGTTTGTGCTTGGGATTGCCCTGACCCACATGCAGGACCTTACACTTGTTGAGCTTCATTGCATGGTTCCACCTGCCAGGCCTGTCCAGGTCCCTCTGGACAGATCCCCTCCCTCCCTCCCTGCAGGGAGTTGAGCACACTGCTCGGTGTAGTGTCACCTGCCAACATGCTGAGGGTGCCCTCAGTCCCACTGTCCTTGCCAATGACATACATGTGTGTGAGGATCATTTTGCAGAAGTTTTCCGTAGAACGAATTATTATAATTTTGCACGAGTAGCACAGTGAATTTTTTCAGGCATTCTGTGTTTTTATTCAGATATTTATTATCTTCTAAATAATGCATGTTCTTTTTTTTTTTTTTTTACTTTCTTAAATGTATTGTTTCATATTTCAATTTAAAATAAAATTTGATTAATTGTGTTTTTTCAGGGTCACATGGAGGGGGAAGTTTGGGGTCTAGCTACTCATCCTCATTTACCTATTTGTGCCACTGTAAGTGATGACAAAACCTTAAGAATATGGGATTTATCTCCCAGCCATTGTATGTTAGCTGTTCGCAAATTGAAAAAGGGTAAGATGCTTAGTATGAAAAAATATTTACTGATGCAATTGACATTTACAAGCATTATGAATCTTTTGAAAGCAGGACTTGAAAGCAGAATAAATTACTTTCTTTGCTCAAATTATTTTATCAATGCTATGTTCATGAGTTATGTAGCCCTTAAGGAAATTAATCTGTACAAAAAATTGCATAGTACTGTTCTGAAGATTATTTGTAATTGTAAGTCAGTGAATTTATAATAAAAATTAAATAATAAAATTTAAATTTAAGTCAGTGAATTAATAATAAAAGTTGAGTCAATTACGTAAATGCTATGTTGCTTATAATATTACAAGGCTTTTTTGAGACTTTGTATCTAGAAATTTTTAGAAATCTTAGAAGAAATGTTGACATTTTCTTCTTTGTGAGTGCTTGAAGGATCCAGAATGTCAAGGAAAGAGAAGTCATAAAATTTTTACTTATTGTTTAGGATATAATTAAATCTATTTTGACAAATGGAAAATCTGTTTTAAGTGACATCAAATAAGGTGATTTGTTAAGGATTAGATGAGACTGGCCCTGACAAGCTCCTAATGCTGTATATGCTTTGCTAGATAAAGGAATACAGTAGGCTTTATCTGTTTGGCATTCAGCAATGCAGTTTGATTCAAACATAATGGGAAGCTTAATTGAAGATGATCTAGACTGACAAAGTAAATGTAGATGCTCACACAAGCAGGGATTAAACAAGAAAGTTCCTAGCTGGTGAACTCTGCTCAAGTCCTAAAGCTGATATTTCTTAATATTTTTAAGAGTATTTTTGCTGAAAATCTTCTCTGATGACTATTTGCTGATGAGACACATTTTGAGATGCTTTGGCAATTTGGCAACTTTAAAAGTTCCTGTGTACTGTCCAGAAAAAATGGATACTTCTGCAAACTGGGTAACGGAATTGAAATAATATTAATGATAAAGGGCAAGACCCAGTGACTGTAAGAAGAATGTCTGTGTAGGTCAGGAGTAACTTATTGAGCAGAAGGCTCAGGATGTTGATGAGTGCAGGGTGACAATTACATGTGATAGTGAGGTATTTTTCCCAAGACATATAGCAGTGTTTATGTAAATTACAAGACAAAAATCAGGATATTTTTGGCGTGCTTTTCCCATCTGTGTTCAGCTGAATGCAATTAAACTAAAAGTTGGAAATGGAGAAAGGAACTACAGGATAATGAATGCAAAGTCTTGTGGTGAAGCCATCTAAGTAAAGGATTGTTGTCTGCAAGTTAATCAGAGGAACAAATAGTAGGGGAAAATATTTATATTAAGAGAAAGGTCTGGCACGAAAATAAAACTATGTAAGTTGACCATATATAAATTTAAATTGGGAACTATACTGTTTTTCAAAGAACACTTGGCATGTTTATTGGAAGGATTCTATGGCTTAGTGTCTCATTGTTTGTGATAGCAAATAACTGAATTTTGTGAACCCATAGGTTCTTTTCCAGCTGTGTTCTCCAATCAGAGCAAATGGGAACAAGCAGGCAGCACCAGATACAGAGAAGGAGGTCAAGTTAAAAATATACAGACAATAGTGATTGATTTGTATTACTAATGTAGAACAGATGTCAATTAATATGCAAATTCTGAGATAATGGGCCTGTGTACCTGTTCGTATGCTATCACAGCTTGGAATCATTTTGGCGGCATCTGGAAAACTTCCTTAGAAGTTTTATAGTATAAGAATAGCTTTCCTTTACTAATGGAAAAATAGATCTGATAGAAGGATAATGCACTGTAAATGTATCTGAATGCAATTTCTTTATTTCTCATAGGAGGCAGATGTTGCTGCTTTTCTCCTGATGGAAAAGCATTAGCTGTTGGTCTCAATGATGGAAGTTTTTTGATAGTTAATGCAGATACTCTGGAGGATTTGGTCTCTTTCCAGCACAGGAAAGATGTTATTTCAGAAATCAGATTTTCTCCTGGTAAGTGATTTCTTTTTAGATTTTTTTAGATGCAAATTTTAGTATCAAGGCTGTTCAAGTAAGGCTTATCACATTTAAAAGATAAAAAAAAGTTAAGATTTTTAGTACTTTTAGATGTAAAAAATTGACCAGCAAAACTAATACTAACATTTTGACAGACCATGGTGTAAAGTCCTGTGTTGCTTGTTTAAGGATGAGATTATTGGAATAAGTTTGCTTAGAGTAACCTCCTGAATATTGCAATCAGTTTTAAATCATGAACATCCAGCAGCTCCCTAGGGTTCCACTTTATGAGCTGGATAAGTTTGGCACATCACTGAAGTTACCGTTAGCTAATAAGAGCACTTGAAACCGATGTTCCAGAAACTTCTGCCAACTTTTTTTTCTTATTTTTCCCCCCTTAGCACTCCCAGTGAGGCTATGTTTTTTTCCAACATCATAGCAAATATTTTAGGAACCCAAAATGTGCAGCCTGCTTCAGTTAAAATGCTCATCTGTTGGAGAAATTTGATGCAAATTACTGATAGCAATTCTCATACAACATTGCTTTCTGGTTCCCCAAGCCTTACCATTCTTTGAATGCTATAAATGCTTAAAATTTTGGCAAATGGTTTTTACTGTTTGAAACTGTAATGATATCATAGTTGTATGTTTCATGCTGATTATGTGATATGAAAATCAGTTTTTTGGGGAATATGTATATATTAGCAAGCTGATGTCAAATAATTCAAAGATGCATATAGCTAAATTCCAGTATTTACTTGTGTTTAACATGCAGAGCATTTTGAAAATGTTTTGTGTTTGTACTGATGTGTTTTAGGGGCTGGAAAGTACTTAGCTGTAGCATCCTGTGACAACTTTGTAGATATTTACAATGTAATGAGCAGTAAAAGAGTAGGAATCTGCAAGGGAGCCTCCAGCTATATCACGCACATGGACTGGGACATAAGAGGTAAGCAGCATTCATTGTAAAAACGTACTGGAAGATTGATTACATTATAGACTAATAAAGTACATGTATAGTATGGATTTGTGGTGTCACTGACATATTTGATTCTTCAGCTTACGAATATACTCTCACAGCATCTGAATAAATATTAAGCCCATGATTTTTACTGCCAAATGCATATTTAGAATTTGTGTGATTTGAAGTAAAATGGTTTGTCTCTATAGATTGGTTTGTTTGGATTTTTAAAAAAATCTTTCCTGTTTATCATTGGACTTCACAAGGGCAGTTAGTGACGGAACAAGGGGAAAGGGCCTTAAGCTGAAGTAAGATATGTTTATATTAGATATTAGGAAGAAATTCTTTATTATAAGTGTGGGGAGGCACTGGAAAGGGCTGCTCAGAGAGGCTGTGAATGTCCCATCTCTGAAGGTGGTCAAGGCTAGGCTGGATGGGGCTCTGAGCAGCTTGCTCTCATGGCAGGGGTTTGAACTAGATGGTTTCTAAGGTCCTTTCCAACCCCAAACATTCTATGATTCTAAGTTTCTACTGCTTTAATAATATACTGTACAATGTGGTAGTATTTGTAGCTCAGGAATATGTGTTCTTGTTGTCACACATAGCAGAATGACCAGGTTTCCTCTGTTCCAGGGTATTAATATGTGATTAATTAAAATACTAAATTTAGTCCTGTTTCATTAAAAAGCAAGGCTGTGCAATTATGCAATCTATTTGTTCATGTTCTTATTCTTCTACATAATCAATTTTGAAACAGTCTGATTTATTTTGGAAGAATGTTCTAAGTTAGCTTCCTTTGAGAATTTTGAAAAGGAAGAGGACAGAAACATTACTGAGAATTTCCCTCAGAAATGAAGTAGTAAAAGGTGTAAAGAAGTCTTCTCCTAGGGATCAGCCAAGATCACCTATTGAGAGACCGCCAGCTATTCACCAGTCTTCACGGAAGTAATTGTGTATGCCGTTTATTTCTATCTTTAGCACACCTTTTATAGGGTTCTACAGGGTCTGCGGGCAGAGCAAGCTACTATTGGCTAGTACACACAGTTTACATTTTTTCTCCTACACACAAGAATATTGTTTTGCTTTACTCTCTCTTCTGCATGAAGGTTTCAAGGACTTTAGCCTTTAGTATCATGACTTATTTCAAAGGCTGGTTTGTGCACACAGGCCTTTACTAATATATAAAATATAGCAACAATTCCCCCTTTCTCTTTTTGCACAAACTAGGCTTTGGATAAGATAACATACAACTTAGACT